CATGCATGCATTAATATGTACCATTGTAATGGTACAATACGTTTCTTGTACATCAGCATACACAAGTCTGCTTCTTGAACCAGCTGGGTCATGGTAGATACCTCTGTGTGCTCTACGCCTAGACTGTGGGTTGACAAAAATTATATGCGGCAGTCTGGCTTGTTGCATATTCGTCTCGTTTGAAGTTGTTGCACAGTATACATCTTGTAATCATAGCTGCTGTTTACTGTCTTTTATATACTTGCATGCTGTTTCTGCCAAGGAGGCTAGAGGGAATGATTGTTAGGCTTGGAGCTGCCAGTGCTGCTCATGGCGGCTCTTTCAAATCGCCCACTCCGCAAGGCCTCGCAGGCCCCTCAATACGGTCAAGGCGAATGGAATGGCGCAATCTAAAGGAAGTCCGTAAGCGATGACATCCTGTCGTTTGGACAGTCCTTGTAGGCTCGTAGCAATCATCGCGCATCTTGCGCTTGCTCTGAGCACTCGCTGAAACACTCGTGCTCCGGATTGTAGATGCTGAGGGTCTTCTTGTGCGAGGAAGAAAGAAGCTCCGACACCCCAACATGACAAGCTCTTGCCTGTAGCATAGGAAAGCGGCGTGAATCCCGCAACCACGGGACGCGACGATCACCCTGGCCAGGCCGGTTGCATGCTCCAGGTCTGTTGCAAAAATCGAGGTGAACAGGATCATCCAAAGCTTGGAACCTTGTCATCTGCATGAGTCGGTGCAGGTGACAAACGTCATTCTGGCCTTCGACACTGGGCTTTCAGATGTTTAATGGCCCTTACTTACCAATTCGCTCCTCCCCCAACCCCAAGTGAGTGCTGCTCCGAGTGTCCAGAGTTTGGTGCTGCTGCGATCATCCAGAGGCAGCTGGGCAACGCCAGCAATGAATCGTGTCAGCTCTTCGGGCCTTCGTTGCCAAGGAGCTCGCATCCACGCCCACCAGTTCTGGCGAGTCGACGCTGACAGTCAAGGACCGACGCTTCAGCGGACAGGGGACGATTCCCTTTGGGCAAATCTCAAAGTCTCTCCAGGCACCTACCGGCTTCAGCTTCCCGGCGCTCTGCACAGTGGTCGTGACGGGAGCTCCTTGCACAAAGATTGTCGTCCGTGCGATTGAATGTGTCCGATCTGCTTCTCTAATCGTTGTTGGCGTGCAGCTTGTTCCGCGGGCCCGACCCAAAAGCCCAGTATGAGACCCTCTCTGCAGGTCTAGCAGGCATGACAGTCCTAACAACGAAGACACGGCAGCATTTGACCAAATTGCCTTTTTCACCTGCTCTTCCACGTTAGTGCGCACCTTTCAGCAAACAGTGGGTAGGCGTTGCGAATATCTTCATGGCGGCACCATAACAAGCATGAACCGGACAACAGTACAGCAATAGTAATAGTAGTAGCACCATCAACAGCAAAATCAATATCCTCCTTCATCCTTCTTCATCAAAATCATTGCATCCCACCATCAAAATTCTATAACCAGCGTGTCCCGCTTCCAGAGCCAAGGATGTCTTTGGAGCGGGCGCACTGATCCCTCTGGCGTTCTCGGCTTTCGAGGCCTCTGCTGTCGTCAGCACCTGCGAAGGCGCGAGGAAGGGTTTCATGTGCAGGGCAGTGCAGGGGTGCAGGGCTTACGGCCTTCAGTTGTTACCTATTGTCGCAGGGGCCTCTTGGATAAAAAGTTCGTGAATGATCGGTCGGTTGATGCTTGTTGGTGTCGGCACTTTCAGGGATGCTGAGCCACTGGCAAGTGCTGTACGACGAGGAGACGCGGAGTCTGGAAAGTGCGAATCACCGGTTTTTCTCTCCAAGCCGCAGAAGAGGAGTACATCCGAGTACCGGGCCGAGTACCGGGCGGGCTCCGTGGCCAGGCGGGGGCCGGACAGCGCGGCTTTCCGTGGCGCCTGGATTGATCCGAAACCGTCGCTGCCCGGCAGGGGAAGTCTGCATTTACTGCCCATATGAGAGAACAGCACATAGCATACAGCCTGGCATCTAGCTGAAAGTCCTTGTGATCCTTGTGACGCTCAGCTAGAATCGGCTAGAACGTGTTGGAAAAGGTGACAGGTTAGTGCAGCACAAGAACCTCTGCGGAGATCAACTCCTGATTGCATGTCTCGTTGTGAGGTCTGTCATGCCGAGCACAATAGCCGCGTCCAATCTTTTTCAGAACAGGCACTGCATCGAAGCCACAAGCGAAGCAGTAGGGAGCATCTTGGAGAACAGAGTTGAGCGCAAGCCAGCACAAGAATCGACCACACTATACAACAACGAGTGCCAAGTTGCTGCGGTTGCTGACAATCTAAGCAAGCTGCCGAGCCCCGATACAGCAAAACACACTCATGGTGCACACGAAGCAGGTTGAGTCCGTCTTTCGCAATAGGAAGATGCGCAACACAACCATCGGAAGCACAAGAACAAGCACAATCAGCGCACAAGAAGCGACTGCAACGGCCACACTCCGAAGCACACCGAAGCATACGAAAGCAATACCAAGCGTATCAAGAACGAAGGGTCATAGGCGCGGCGCACGTCATGCTTGTGCTATCTTGTGCTTGTATTGTTCGGAATCCCCTGATCCCCACGCCACTTCAGAAAGGTTACGTGATGCGGCTTCAGGGCGTAAATGGCGAGGAGACAGCAGCTCCTTGGGCCAGAGGTTCTGGGTTGGCTTCATGAGCCTGCCGAGGGGCTCCCCTGTCAAGGGTTTCGGAGAGGCTTGAAGCATCCAAGCAGTGATCGGTCTTGTGGGAAGATTTCTTTGTGTCGCACCTCTCTGTCAGGAACAGAACCTCTGGACCATCAGCTTCGCTGGGGAAGCGACTGACGCTTGTCCTAGTGGGTTTGTGCTGGCTCAGAAACCTGGCAGACCTGAGACTTCTTGCCCCACACAACCCTGAACATGATCCAACGTCGTTAGTTACATATGTAGGAGCCATTTTGCGCATTCCCAGCCGAACCTCGTAAAACGGCCTGACCCGGAAAAGCTCGAAGCCCCAAATTTACGAGCCTGCGACCTAATCCCATCCAGTGGCCCGTATCATTTGCCCTGCCACCAGATCAGTTCACCCCAACACCTCCGAAGGAGCCCTTCGAGGGCTACCGGCTGTGGCGCTTCACTGAGGCTCGCATCTTCTTCGGAAGCCTTTTTCAATTTTCTTGGGGGGTTCTTGGGTGAACTTTAGGCTTTGACTACGAACAAGACGTGAGGATTCCTAACACTACCAGCAGGTCGGACAGCGGAAGCATAACTACGACCCAAGTCGTGCGACGGACGTACTATGCAATGCTGCTGACATGTGTTTGTGTTTGGGGTCGCACGCTCTGACATGGAAGGAGACATCCAGGTGTGCAGCCGCAAGAACAGACCTTCCTTCGCAGGTTGAGGTGTTGCCAGACGCAACAGCGCGATCAACTCCCGCCGAGGACTTCATCCGGATTCAGAAGAGTATGCTGCTGACATGCAAGTTTGTTGTGTTATGTTGTGTTGCCATGTCATTAGAAACCCGGAAAAAAGTACGGAATTAGGCAGCAAAGATATACTGAACAGAATGCTTCAAGAGCGGCATTAAAGCTACGAGTGACATCATCGTAGTTGCACCTGAAGCATTGCCTCTTGATCCTGGGCCTGCCTTCGCATCCCAGAAATACAATCTTAGCTGTCAGCAGTTCTCAGCCAGGGACGAATTGAGGGTCAACGCAGAGGAGGCCTCTGCTTCTGTTCTAGGAGACACGCAACAACGTGACTCTGCGCTTCCGCACGACGAACGCGGTGACATCCGCCGGCTTCGTTGCACTTCAGGCACAAGCGAAGACAACCCCCCTCCCGAAATCTCGAGCTCAGATCTCGAACTACAGCACTTTGCAAGTGAAAGTCTAGCACTCTAGCTAGACTCTAGCACTAATTGCGCCTGTGCTCTGGAAACTGTTTGGGTTTGAATTTGACACTGTAAGGCACAGCGGCAGCGTCGCTTCACTAGAGCTGCTGGATAGTGAAGCTCTTTCCGGAATCCCCATAAATGCCGATAAACCTCCCGTTGCAAGAGCAGATAATCCTTGATGCTGCGCGCACGTGATATGTCCTGTGGCACTCGAGCAGCGGTGTCACCATGTTGCAGGCACCTTTCGGTTATGTCTTCCCCACGCTGTGCCAAGCCACTTTGCGGCTGTGCTGATACTGGTTGCACCTTGTGGAGCAGCGCTCATCGAATTTCGGGCTCACGTGATTCAGCAGGCTTGCGTGGCACTTGAAGATCAGAGCTGTCTCACGCTTCGAGGCAAGAGTTGGACGCCACGGACACCCCGATCGCCGGCTCTGGAGTCGTTTCCTGCAGTGGCGGACCGGGCTGCACTCTTTACAAGCCCAAACATCTTTTGCTTGCATCGTTTTCCCAGGCACGCCCCTCCCGGGACCGACGGCAGCCCTCCACCCCGTCACTCGACACGCTTGGGCCATGTCCGTGCAACTTCGAACTTTCGGCGGGCTGATGAGGGCTGTTGCTGTTTTTCCAGCATGTGCTGCGCCATGCTATAATACCTACATCTACACTCTACACGCTAGCATTCCCTCCACCAGGACTGAATTAGAATTGCAAGACTCGCTAACTCGCTGCACATGTATGTCCGTACAAAAAGAATACTCGCAGATAGCAAGACAAGGGTGTGCATCTGCGTACGTATCTGTAACACGGCTACATCTTCCGGATGTACCTAGCTGAGCTTATCATATACCACCGGTGTGTGTCTGCAGAACTTCATGTTCGGAGGTGCCGGCCACAGCCACTAGACATGTTTTCTTTTACTGTTCGCCTCACCCAGGTCTCATCCCGTTACTATCCATTCGCTACGGTTATCAAGCAGCATTTGCGATACATGTGTTGTTGCTTCTGCCAGCGCAGACATCCTAACATGTTGAACGTTTCATGTTCTTCTGCTTGTACCTAAATAGTGCTCACGCAACACAAGCGGCAGTATTCAGATCATACTCATAGTGTTCAGTTAAGCGAGTTTAAGTGGTAATGTGTTCCTCGATAGTGACTACCGCTGACTTCATTGAGAAGGAGATAGCACAAAGGCGTGACCGTGCACCAAGTTTTCGCGAGCGACCAAATCATGAAATGCTCTAACTTAAACAGTACGTACATAATCGCGTATGGTCTACCAACTGGTGAAATATTTAACAAAAGGAAATAGGCAGACATCAAGGAAGTATAAGTATTACCTAGCACAGACTTGCATTGCTATGAAGTAGTAACACTAACTAAAGATTACCTGGTTCTCTGCGAAGGATACGCGACTTTCGAATTACATACTGCTAGCCAAGCACCTATTCATGAAGCACTGCCTGAATATCGGTCATATATGACCGAGTGTTGACTAAATGCGTCACAAACAAGCTGCGATAGCATTTACAAGGTACCGAATACAAGTGAGCAATGACATGTTTAATCTCAGAAAGAATTCAGTTAGATAACAAGGAAACATTGCTTAAGGTTTATGCGAGCATAAAGCGTTACCAAGTGTGACCGTCAAAGGTTGCACGAGCATTACGCGGATACCACTTTAAAGCTTTGCTTTTTTTATTAAACCAGTAGTTAGTCATAGTCACTTAATTGTCTATACTGAGCATAATTTAGGTATCGAGATTATTTTCACAAATGTATTGTGCGCTGCACCGTTGCCGGGCACGTGCCCCAACGTTAGCACCAACTTCAAAATGGAATCCAAAACGTCGTGAGGCGGATCGTTCCACATCGAAAGAAGTCATGGCGCGAAACTGACTGACAAAGGGCAGACACAGTTCGGCTTGAGTTCCAAAGAAACGAAACAAAGTCGCCAGCAATCAGACTAGCAAAGCTTACTTGCCGTCATAGATGTCTGACGTATGAAACCGTGTGCTCGGCTCATCTCGGCTCTAGTGGTGTGCAGTGTTCTCAGCTTAATGTATGCGCATGTGAACGTGGTTTCGTATGTTTCGTGTGCTGTGCGTGTGTGGCTGATGTCGGTCAGTCCACTTCTTTCCGCTGAGGCGTAAGCCTACAGCAAGCTTGGCTTGCATTGGTGTTTCCAACCGTTCAAGCTCTGTGTGTGGCGTCTTTTAACGCTCTTTCCAATGCTTCAGGCTCTGCCAATTTTATCAGGGTTTCCAAGCTCTGTATGTGCCAATTTTATCAGGGTTTCCAATGCTTCAAGCTCTGTGTGTCCGTTTTTACCGCTTTTTCCAATTTCTCCGGTGAGTCAGTTGAAAACCAATACAAACTACTAAAGGAAACATCATTTTCAAACTATCCTGTCTGGGTAGTGGGGTAGTGTCACGCCTCCAGATAACCTCGCAATCATGAGATTATGGTTTGTGCTGGCTTTTGCAATGTTTCCTCTGAGTCAGAAACAGAGAACATTGGAAACACCAACAGAAGCCATAAAGACCATGATTTTGAAACTATCCCGTCTGGGTGGGGTTTTGTGCGCCTAGAGGCATTTAGACGGGGACAACACACAGGACATGCACTCTAATCGGATGCTTTGAAAATACCAATAAAAACCCATAAAATCGACTCGAAGCCTTCGGAAACCAAGAAAATCAATGATATTCGAAACAGCTGCAGGCGTGACATTGAGCAGGGAAACACTGCAAAAACACATTCAAAAAAAAACGCAATAAAAAGTGCACGCACGGTGCAGAAACCATTGGAGACCCAACAACAGTGGCACAGCCGGTCCCCAATACATTGGAAAACCCTTGAAAACGCCAACAACAGCCATAAACATCTTGATTTTGAGACCCTGTGGAAGCGTGACAATTCTAGCTCCCAACACGCCAATAAACCCAATGTGGTCAATTCAGGATCGGCAAGAAAGGGTAGGCGCGGGGGGGGGGGGGGGGGGG